TTTTCTTCTGTACTTGTTTTCTTCGTGGCTGCAAATGCTCCCCACCTCTGATCTCCCAGGAAGTGGAACCTCAGTGAAGTCTTTCAACGTTTTTAGCACTGTGATGTACTTCACTTTAGATTATAAAAATCGGTGGTATTTCCTCATTAGCTATGATATTTCCCCCAGGACTTTTTCTGGTATGGGGACCATTGATGTGTTGTTCTCAATTTCAGGGCACGATACCCAAGGTAACACCTTACAAAGAAGACCAAGGTACTGGGGTATTTACCGAAGGAGATATAACAATTGGTCTGAACATGTCAGTCCCAGCATTCATCCTTCATCCCACCAGCAGCAAGATGGAGATCCAGCAACAAGTGATGCCTATGTGGACACCCAAGTAAGATAGTAAGTGACCAATCAGCATGGCTGAAATATACCAGGCGGTGGAATTTATAACTCTGTAGTTAAATATGTCATTCTTCTCTCCAACCTGGAGGAATGAGGAATGTTAGGATCAGGTTAATGGTTGAGCCAACTTTATTTTAGCCCTGGAATCAGTGGAATGAACACATATAGAAGACTTTCTGGGTGTATATGGACCACTTGTTTCTCTTTACTTCCCGACACAGCACTCCATATGCCATTCCACGCTATCACCGGAGAAGCAATTTTAAGAAACAAGACCAAAGCCACGTTAACACACAAAGAGAGCAAAAGTCTCCAGAGAGGGAAATGAAGGAGAAGAGGCAGGATGAGACTTTGGGAAGCTGGTTCAAGATCACTGTGAGTGTCCTGGAAAAATTTGCCTAATATGTAGAAGAAGGTGAATAGAGGGAGTTGTGTTAGACCCATGTAGAGATACTAGGAACTTTTCTGGGGCAGAATATTTGGTAATCTGTCTTTTTGTTACTAGGAGTTAACATCCTAGATCATCTCAGGGCAGACTCGGAGAAGCAGTATAAAAAGAACGGACTGACTGCAAGAGGAATGGGGGAGGTTGTCTAAAAGCAAAGGAGAAAACTGCTGCCAAGGAGATGGAGCAACTCCACACCAGAAGGCTCAGTTTGGCCCAGGCCGAGTGTGGAAGGAGGTTGAGTCTCTGTGGTTTTTGTCAGAGGAGCAGGCCAGGTCTGCTTTAGGTTGGATCTCTTGGAACTTTACAAGAGGAAGTACATGTTAAATATCATAAGTCGATTATCTGAGGAAACCTATTTGAATGGAAAGAAAGGGTATTTAGGAAATCCGTGTCTGGTACAACAGTTAGAAATAATGGATGTTGTCTCATCTTAAAAGAAAAAATATATATTTTAAAGCCAGGAAAAAATATCTGGAAGGAAGACATGGTTGAGTTTTATCTTAACCTTAGATTACGTCAATCTACTCTTTTATCTTTTCTATGGGTCCTAGATTCCATTCGGCATAAGATATGATGAGAAGTGGCTGCTGAATTTGATTCAGAAGCGATGCAGTGTCCCCTTCACTCCAGTCGAAGTAAGAGAAGACAGTGGGGTGGATGAGAGACAACAGAGCAGATGAGCAGTGGCTCTGGTCTCATATTCTGCTTCTCTTGCCGCTCTCCCTATAGTTTCACTACGAGAAAATGCAGGCCCATTTCTTCGTTGAACATGCCAGCATTGCCTTCGCATTGAAGAATGTCAATGGCAAGATTTGGGATGACGATAATGAGAAGGTGTGTGTCAAAGGCATGACCAACGCTAGCTAGGAATAAGAGGACAGGGGCAAGGCTCAGATTTCCTGATACTTACCCAGCCCCTCTTGTGTTCTGCACAGATATCTGTCTTTGTCAGCCCCTCTGGTGCACCCCACTCTGTGCAGAAGGAGCTGAACTCAGAAAAGGTGGAGCAGACAAAGGTAATGCAGGCTCAAGACAAGTTATGCATCCACATCCAGACCCACCTCTTCTTCCCCCACCTATTGCCCCCTTCACCACCTCAGACTCAGGGCCACTGAACCCCATGTCTAATTCTGCAGCTGACCATGAACAAACTATATGATGTGTCCCAGGATTCTCTTGACGTCCAAAGATGCTGCTTTGACCCTGGTATGGCTACAGCAGTAATTCTAGGGCAGATGAAGGCACAGGGGTCTGTCTGGGAAGGAGACTCAGGGATGGTAACTTAGGGAGGGATTGGTACTGAAGCTGTACCAACCGAGTCCTTCTCATCCTTCTGATTCCCTCCTCTTGGCTTTCTTGAGACTTGATGACCCATGGTACTGAAACAGCACCGAATCCAAGAATCTGCATGGCTGCCCCCCTGCAGATAGATGAAGAGAACATGTCCAAGGTGAGGTCTTAGGTCCAGTGCTGGGATTGAAGGTGAGGATGGGATAGAATACATAGTAGAGGTAGATTGATCTCAGGTATCTTCTGTTGAGGTCCTCACTAACTCTTTCCTCATCATAGTTTTTGCCTTTTAACTTGAGCAACAAGAAACCTTACCAGCTGTATGACCTGTCCAACACTATGCAGAATGCCTCGAACATCAAGAACTTGAACCTCTCCAACAGTGAGGTGAAGTTTGGTACACAGACCCTTCTTCGAAGGGAAGGCGGTAGGGCTCATGGGGTGGTGATAAGGGGCAGGGAACTGGATTTGACAGAAAAGGTAGGGACCGGGGGTACATGTTGTCTTGGCTCCCTTCCTCTGGTCTATGTGGTTCCTCCCTATAATTATAGGTGAAGTCTGCAGGGGGGTCGGACCAAGGCAAAGGGCTGGAGCCAGAAGAGGTGAACGCAAACATAAATCCCCTATGCACCACCATCTCAGATAAGTCAACCAACATAAGGTCAGTTGTACACTCTGTCACCCCCTGGGAGCCTGAGCTACCACTCACAATGCCTGTTTGCAGTAGGAAGCAGCCCTGATCCTCTGGGAGGACCACGGGCCCTAAAATCTCCTCTCTTTGTCCTTTACTTGTGCTTCGAGGTCTCCTTTCCTTCCTCTGACCACCTCACCCGTTTGCCTAGCCTGAGATCTGTTTCCCATCCATCTGCATGTAGCCTTCTTCAGCGTGCTCTCTCAAGAGTGTGTTCCAGGAAGCAAGACAGTCCTTCCTCACCAGGACCAGGAGGGTCCAGCTTTGAGCCAGATGCTGGTGCCCTGCACTGAGAAGAGTCTCCCAGCCCAGAGTCTCATGCTGAGACGGCCTCTCTACTCTGTGCTGAGATGGGGCTTCCCTGCCCTGCCCTGAGAGGGACCTGCTTTATCTTGCTCCATAAGGTCTCTTTGCCCTTTCCAGGCTGAGATGAGAACTCTCCCACCCTGTGCTGAGGGCTGAGGCCCTGGGTGGCTGCCACCATGACATCTGTTTCTCTGGCCCAATGTCCCAAGTTGGGCCCTCCTTGGGAGAAACCAGAGTTCCCCGAGTCAAGGGAAATGAGTGACCGCCATTGAGCAGAGGGCCTCCCGAGGCAGCAGTGGAAGGCAGAGGGCAGAGGGGGTCGAAGAGACAGAAGGACAGGCCTTTCAGAGCACTGCCCCTCCATCCCTCCACACATGACATCTTCCTGCCTGGTCCTTCAAGGGGTCCCTGGGTAGCCCGACACGGGTATGATTCCTCAGGCAAGGAACCAACTAAGACAGGCACAGATGCACAGGAGCCATGAGGAGAGAAGGCAGTGATCATAGGAGGGGGTCACAGACCCTCTACCCTCCATGTTGAGCTGGGGCCCGACCCTTTACTCCTTCTGGGGAAGGTCTCCTGCCCCCGTGGCTGCTGTGTTTCCCATGTCCTGGTTAGACTAAGTTTCCATAGGTGACAAAGGGTCAACCAGCATCCAGTGGGCCCCCAGCCTAATAGGTGCATGTTTTGCATTCCTACCTGGGGTCTCAGGGTCAGCCAGGGGCTGATGAAGGAGAGGGCTGCAGCAGGGAGCCATGTCCCCTGTCTTCTCTCTTCTTCCTTGACTCCCACCCCCGTGGCAGGACTTCTTTCCCTTCTTTTTGCTTTGCTTTCTTTTTCTCCCTTGTCTCTGCTCCTCTATGTCTCTCTCATCTGCATTCCATTTCTGTCTTCATCCCCCTTCCTGTCACTCCCAGGCCCCTGAGCCCTCCATCATTCACTCCCCTACCTCAGCATCTGTGACCATTTGTGAGGGGTGCCCTAGTCCTGGAAAAATGCTGGACCCTGAGCGAGGTAGCAGAGCTCTGGGCTCCCACCTCATTCTTTCGTCTCTCTGGATCTTTTAGTGAAGACCTGGAGGAAGTAAGAGAGCGGGAGGGAAGAAGGAAATCCTGGAGCCTGGGCTCCAAATGCTGCTTCCTGTGGCGTTGAAGAAGGGATTCAGGGCAGTTTAGTTGGGAGCTACCCAGGAGGACAGAGAGGGAGCCGGGCATTGAGGGAGGGAAGGCCGGTGAGTGCTCTTCCTATGGGTCAGTCCATGGGGAAGGTGCTCAGATCCCTGGAAGCCTGGGGCACTGGAGCATAGGTGGGATACACTGGACTGTGTGACTGGTATAGGTTGCTTGCTCCCATGAGGCACAGCTACTCTGCAGATTCACCTACTTTTTCTGTTTTGTCTTGATTTTGGCAGCTCTATCCTGGAACTGTTCCCCAAGTTATTATGCCTGGTAAGTGTGTTCCTTGATCACTGACTCCTCTGAGTGGCACTGACACTGCTCACATGCTGCCCTGAACCCCGTTAGCCCAAACGCCCAAGTTACATTTTTGGATTGGACCCTTAATCCTCATTGGCAGATTGACCCACGTGGGAACCTGACAAAGGCTCTGGACCTTCTTCACACAAGTTCTCCATAGGCTTCAGGGACCCCATGGTGACGATCCAAAAGTAGTCCCGCTCATGGAATTTCCAAGGCCCTTTCGCACCTGACCTCAGATTCTCACCATCTCCTGGGCCCATCCTTTCCCCTAATCATCCAGGGCCACCTCCCTGGTCTCCACTGCTGACTTCCTCTTCCTTTTCCCAGGATGGCCAGGAGCCACCCCCACCAGCTAACTTTGGTATTGAAGCCCACAAGAAGTTACCAACCTACAAGGTGAGGAGGGGGATCGAGCAGAGTTTAGGTGGTACATGAGCAGGTAGTATCAGCTGTGATCCTGAGGACTGTCTTTATTTCAGGGAAGTGTCTTTGGATCTGACATGCTAAGTCTAGTCCTGCAATTCCTGCAGCAGTAAGCACGCCTGGGAATCTGAGGAAGGGGAGGGCTAGGGCTGGTGAGGCCACCCAAGCTCAAGACTGCTGTCTGGGTCCATCATGTCTCATTTGGGGCTCAGTTCTCACAGGCAGCCTGTCCGCTTGCTCCCTCACAGGTACTACTTGATTTATGACTCTGGAGATCGACACTGTCTCCTCTGTGCTTATCATGACAAGGCCTGCTTCTCCCTGACCATTCCCTTCAACCCCGAGGACCCATCCCCGTGAGTATCACAGCTCAGACTCTGCTCCTGGGCCCTGTGGCTCCTCAGCAGACACCGGCTGGCTCATGGAAACACCCACACTGGCCAGGTCACCACCTCCTCTTCCTCTTCTTCTCCTAGAAGCAGCTTGTTTGAGTACTTCAATGACAACAGGAATATGAAGAAGTTCAAGGACCCATGTGCGTGTGTGATGGAGACGATTGGGCAGGGAAAGGGGGCATGAAGGGGTCAGTCATGGGGCCCAGGGTGTGGCTACCCTGACCCTCGCTCTCCTTTCCCCACAGACCTGCGAGTTCAGCTGCTGAAGCACACAAAACATGACATCGTGTGCTCCCTCTGCGTGTTGCCCAAAACTCAGCATGACCTCAGCTCCTTCGTGGTGGACATGTGGTTCCAGACGGTGAGCACCTGCTTCCTCCCTCAGCAGGCCAAGAAAGACACAGGTGGGTAGGAGGTGTGAGTGGTGACAGAGCGCCTGGGCTCTTCCCTTTCAGGAAAGGATGCTCTGCTTCTCTGTCTATGGTGTGTTCAAGGAAGGTGAGTGTGTAGAGTCCCCTCCCCAGATTTCCCACTGCTCACTCCCTCTGGCTGGTCTCCCTCTCAGAACTCTGCCAGCTTCTCTGATCCCTTCCTTTTCCTTCCTATTCTCTCTGAATTCTCCTGCCTCCACTCTGCCCCCAAACCATCTGGGTCAGAACTACATCCATTTCCTGCACAACTCGGGGGTCAAGGACATACACTGTGGAGTTTGAAGGCTGTCATCCTAGAAGCTTACTCTTAATGTTACTTAAACTCTTAAGTTTAATGGTGCAGTTACTTAAACTCTTAATGTCTTCATTTGCAAAATGGGTTTAATAATATCCATATCTTGTGTAGCTGTGAAAAGTGAATCAAGTGAATTTGTGAAGTGGTTGTCCCAGGGCCCGGCACATCCTGGGAGCAGATTGCTCCTACTATTGCTCTCCTTATTCCTGACACACTGACTCCCAGTGTACAGTTGTCTCTTTTGGCATGAGTATCAAACCAGAACGTGACTGGGAATGCTGTGTGAGCTTTTGAAGAAGCATTTGGGACTCTAAAGGGCTGTTGTTTGTTGTTGTTGAAGTGGAAGGAAGGTCTCAGGGTTCTGTGCGTGCCTTCGCCCGGACCTTCATCACTACCCCTGCCGGCAGTTCCAGGTGAGTCTTGTGCTGTGGGTGGGAACACCCAGCCCAATCTGGGCTCACGGGTGTGGGAATGTGGTGGTGCAAGTCCTTGGGGTTTCCTCAGTGTTGTGGGAAGCCAACAGGTAGATCCAAGGAGCAGTCCAGCACAGGGGTTGAGATTATAGTGGGCTCTGGAGGTAGGGCACTGGGTTCTCTTCCTGACCCCAACACTCACTAGAATTATACCGTAGTGAAGTCACATCATCTCTCTGTGACACAGTGTCTTCCTCTCAAAATGGGATTAGAATGTCCTCTCCCTTGGGCTGTTTTTCAGAGTAAATGCATTGAGGTTAAACTTGCAATTTTAATGAAGCTGTTAGACAATCTTTCCAAAGGTGGGCCCTGTGGGAGGGGTAGAGGTAGCAGCCAAGGAATCTGGGGGACATGCATAGTCAGAGTATGGAAGGAATCTGGTTGATGAATGGCGGTGGGGGCAAGATCATTCTCGGGGGTGTGGGGTGGTCTGTCCTTCCATCAGCTGTCTGAGGTCTCATTTTTCACCCAGTCTATACATCATGAATGATGAGCTGTTTGTGAGGGACACCACCCCCAAGGAGTCTCAGAGTGAGTTCTCCATCCAAGGGCCTACACCCATCACCAGCTCCCTGCCCACCCTCTCCCAGGAGCAGCAGGAAATGGTGCAGGCTTTCTCCACCCAGTCTGGGATGAATCTCCAGTGGTCTCAGAAGTGAGTACTGGGTATGCATGGGGATAGGAGGGAGCTGGGGGGAGCAGAGGAGTGAATAGTGGGAACTTGCAGGTAATCGTTTTGCTTATTTATTTCCCTCATCAGCGTGAACGTTTCACCCTCAGTGAATATAAGCCACCTAGTTGTTTTGAACGTATGCATACTCCTTTATGAATTTCATGGGCCTCATTCCTTTACTGACCGACATTTGGGTTTCAGGAGTTATTCCCACTACACACTGTGCCACAGGGCTTATTCCCCTGCATATGTCGCAGTAAACCTGGAGGCATGTTTCTGTCGCATAGATTAAGCAATGGCAATGTGCTGTCAGGGAGTGTCCACTTTGGTCCTAATGAATGTCACCTGCCTTTCCTCCACCCCAGATGCCTTCGTGACAATGACTGGGTCTACACCAGAGCTGCAGAGGTGCTTGCTCTGCCCAAGGTGAGGTCTGGAATTCAGGCCAAGATGTATGGAGGCCGGGCAGTCTGAGAATGGGACTCCGGGATCTTGGCAGTGCTGATCTCCCAACTCCTTCCCTCTACTTCCTCCAGGCCAAGCACAAAATCCCAGACGAGGCCCTTCCACAGGCTGATCCAGGATCCTGAGAACATGGTCCCGACGAGAAAACCTTGGGTGTCATTTTCATCCTCATCATCTTTCTTGTTTTCTCTCCAGTCTGAGTATGCCTCTGTGATGGAGCCAGGAGTTCTGCTTGGAACATTGGACAGCCAATGCTTAAGTGACACTCATCTACCCAAAGGGCCAGTTGCTCTGCTGTCCCATCCAGGATCCCTGATTCTTTTCATAATAAAGAACGACATCTCATGTTATGTCAAATCCCTGCAGAATCCATTTGAGACAAGCATTATTAACACTGGTCTACAAAGGAGGAAAGGGAAAGTCAGAGAGGGTCAATGAGTTCTGGGGAACAGTGGGGCAGAGACCCAAATCCTGGAACTCCCTAAAACGCAGGCTCTGTGTGCTCCCGATGGCCATGTGACTGCTGAGGTGGTGATGTTCTGTTACCCTGGTAAACCCGAGGGTGGTTGCCTTTGTCCCTAGTGTATTAGTGAAAAAATTTTAGGCAAAGAACAGTAGTACTTTCTTAGCCGTACAAATCTATTCAAATTTTATAACAATCCATTTGGGGGGAAAACAGCAGTAAAGAGCACATGAAAACCTGGGAAGCAAAAATTACACACATACAGATGACATTAGATAAATATCCTTGACATATAAAGAAATCAGTATAGAGTTCGGAAATTGAAATTAACCTAGTATTGTTATTAAAAACAATAGGAATGACCCACCAATGTATGAAAAGTTATCCAACCAAATAAGTGTAAAAACATAAGTGCAAATATTGAGATAAAATGCTAAATGAGAAAAGAAAGCTGAAGATTGTTATTTTCAGGAAAACACACTGTATGTGTGTATACTGTGTACATGAATTGCATAAAGTCATTACTCATAAAAGTACAGTATGTCAGGCAAAAACATGTGGAAATGACATACCTCTGAGAGGCAGGCAGTTTCTTCTTTACCTCAGTGCCCCTTCTTTCTTGTGTGCAAGACAACTAAGATTTTGGAAGATAGAGAATCATTTGTATGAGGAAAGCCCCTCAGGGTCAGTTCTGGAATGTTCCACAGGTCGACCTTCCCCTATACCCAGAAGCAAAGTGAAAGGACATGGGTTTAGATGGAGGGGCTGCCATGGTGGCCCTCAAAGGAGAAGGCGCTGATAAGGATTTAGCCCTTCAGCCTTGCGGCTCCCGGGCAGCTCTCAGGTTGCTGCTGTCTGCAGCTGAGGACCGGGAGTGCTCTTTGGTCAGAACCTCCCCAGTTCATGAGAGGCCCGGCACAGTACTGGGGCACCCAGACTGAGCCCAACACTTTTCTGCTTACTTCACCTCTATTCTCTGTATTCACTTCCTGTATTCCTCACACGCAGTTGGGTTCATACCTAACTTTGTACTAACTGGCAGTGTCATCCCCATTCCTATCATGCACACTTTGGATGGGCGGTAGGAATAATACTAATAAATAATAATACCAAAACAATAACAACGATAATAAAAGATACCAATAATTATAGTGCACATAGAGCATAAATTACTTGCAACCAACAAATAATGGTTCCCAGAATCCAATCTAGGCCCTTCTGTTCTAAAATCCCCCACCCAACTCCTGTTTATACATTGAGTGTTCTTTGTTAGGCCAGAGGCCAGCACAGGGGAAGGGATTCACCCAAGATCCTGTGGTCAGTTAATGGGTCTTGCACTGGGACACACGTTTGATGACTCTCATCTTCTGTCTCTCTAGCTCACCGGTTATTCTTTCTCTTCCGTACTATTTCTCCTTCCTGGGGCTCAGTAAGAAATGGCTTCCCCCATGTCAAACGGGAAGGAAAACGAGACAAGAAAACATGAGGAAAAAGAAAATGAAGAGATGGGATGAAAGTTCACTTATTGCTGCTACGTTTCCAGATGCTGCTTCAAATTTTCTATTTAATGGTACAGAAGAGGCACAGTGAGCTGGGAGCAATATACCTCAAAGTCCTACTATGTGCCAGACATTCTTTTAGCTTTTCTCTTTTTTTTTTCTTACAAGTCTGTGAAGAAGGTACCCTTAGTCCCATTTTACAGAGAACCAATCTCAGACTCACAGAGGTGCACAAATTTTCCAAGGTCAAACATCTACCCCTTGCCCTCTGCACAAGCTACCCAGCAGCCTTCCATTTAGATGAAGGATTTCCAGGGTTAAGGACTGATAGTAGGAAACTCCCCTGATGTGAAACCTGGGCCGCCATGTTCCCATTAGGCCTGAAGAAGATGGGGGGGATGAAATCCTGCCCAGTGAACTAAGAGGCTTGCGTGTGGGAGTCATATGGACTGTTTGATTCCTGAGGTGTTGAACTGAATCCGGGAAGCTACATAAGCTGTTGCCCTTTGGAAAGGGAACTTGAATGGTAAGATATCAACATGTACAATTATTACATGAAAGGCATTTTACAACTCCATCCAAACTAATAATTATTCAGATAAAGGAACTGAAGTTAAAAGGTAAGTAACATGACCTAGAGAAACAAACTTATAAATTGCTGATCCAGGACTCAAAACCTGAAATGACACAAAATATTAGGCTTTTGTTCTTTTTGTCCTTTGAGCTTACATTTGCTATATCTCAAAGCATTATTATTCAGTTGCTCTTTTTAAAACAATGCACCGAAGTATTATTTAAATGTTTAAAATCACCATAAAGTGTAAAAGGCCATGTTAATAGCAAAAGTTAAAAATCAAATTGCATGTGAAAAGTTGAGGAAATTATTTACCACCTATATTCTGACATAGGACTTATATAATTGACATATGAAAACTTCTAAACAATAGAGATGAGTCAATGATACCAGGGAGAATGTACATATAAAGCAATATAAATCCACAATAAACACTTGGAAATATGCCAAATGAAACAAATAAAACAAAAATGAATTAAGTGAAACTGAGAACTTGTAAAATATAATGTAGAATATGATTTAATTCTGCAAATAAATGTATATCAACATGAGCGTATGTGTGTTATTATAAGTAGGTGCATTATACACAGAGGAAAATTATGGAAGAGAAGCACAAATATATTAACAGATATATTTGTATTATGGTGGACAGAAAGGGGGCTTATAGGGGAGAATAATTTCGGTTTCTAAATACACATTCCTATATTATTTCATAATTAATAACAAGTGCAAATTATTAATTGGTACTCTGAAAAGGTTACTAAAATAAAAATTTGTAAACAAAATCTGCAAATCGTCACAAAATGATAACGCAAAAATACATTTACTGACTTAGGAATATCTTAATATACTGCTGTGTAGGAATAGCACATTAAAAAAGTTCCTCAGATAAGTAAATGTGTGTGAACTGGTGAGAGAAGATTTTTTTTTTAATTTCTATATTTGTAGGGTTTAAAATACGGAATTTCTAAAAAATGAAAGATTAGAAATATAAATAACTGTAAACCGATTATAAATATGATGTTTTTATATTCTTTGCTCTGGAAGTAATTTCACTGTGTTATGAGTAAAGGTTTTTTGGGAAAAGAGGCAGATCAGAACAATTTATTTGACAGTGTTTCTGCGTGTGTGTGTGGGGGGGGGGAGTAGCTGTGTATTTCTATTTCTATTTCTCAAGCTTCTTCACGATTATCCACACACTACCTTGTGCAGCTTTCTACTCAGTTCACTTACAGGCTAAACTTCCAGCCCTAGACCTTAAGATCCCAGGATGGACTTAAATATAGAAGGATTGCTGCCGGTGTGGCAGAAAGCCCAGAAAACTTTGGCTTATACAATGGAATCCATGCATTTCTGACACTCCTTCCAAATCCCCTACACTTTACCAAGCTCCTTAGTTGAGATTTTCACACCTGCAATTTTGACTCTGATCCCCAGATGACAACTTTCCTCATTTCTTATGGATTATTTTTTTCCCAATGAAGAGGCATAATTTTTAGAAACAGAAACAAAATATTTTCTTCAAGTAGATTACAAAAAATAAGTACAGCGTGATCTCAAATCTCTTTGTAAAAGTCATATGTGTATACAAAGACTGAGAGAAGATACTTAGTTTTGCTTCCTGCTTACCCTGCATCTGCGTCTCAGTTTATTAATGTGTATTGGGTCTACTTTATGCCAGGCACTGTCAGCCAGTTCCTTATCTGCATCCCGATCTTCCCTCTCTAGATCTGTAGACCTGCATAACTGGAAATATTCGCAGAGAGCAAAATGAATAGTGTCTACCCCATAGGGTTGTGAGGCATGACCTCAAATGGACTACATATTAAACAAGGTTAGTTCAAGCCTGGAATCCCAGCATCAAAACAGCCATCTTGTTATTACTATTTAATCATTATAGGTGCCATTTTTTGAGTTCCTATTATATGTCAAGCACTGTGATAGCCTCATCATATGTTATTTAATTCTCAGAAATATCCTGAGAGGGTGTTATTTCAATTTATAGATGAAATACATGAGACAGAAAAGGCCGGGTTATGCTGTGGTAATAGACAATCCCCAAATCTCAGTGGTTTACTCTTCACTTATACTACATGTTCATGGCAGGTACACGTCCATCACAGAATGGCGGATACTGCGGGGTCTGAGTGATCCTTATGGGAATGACTTAGAGGGCCGAACTGACAGAGCAGCCATCATCTAGAAATTTGTCAGCGACTGTGCCTGAGGGGAAGAGGGCCCTGGAGTGACTCAAGCCAACAGCCATATGTTCTGGCCCAGAAATAACACATGTCACTCACAGCCCCATCCAAATAAAGGAGGTCAGAAAGTGCAGTTCTACCAGGTGCCTAGAACAGGAGAGAAATGGAAACACTTGGCAAACAGCACTACTGACTACCACATGATGGAACTGATGCTCAGAAACTTTGGGTATTGCCTAAAATCACATAGGCAGTAAGTGACAGACCACATTCCAGACCTATGATTTCAAAAGTCCATGCTCTTTTACTTCCTTCTATGTTGTTTACTATCCTCTTAAATAAAGTTCATATAAATTTAGAACAGAAATTCTTTTACTTCAATGCTGCAATCCCATCTCCCTTAATCACCTGATATTCCAGCAATTGAATCGAATAGGCATGATAGACTTGATTAAATCCCCAGTATTGGTAAACCACGGGTCTTTTCCAAGTAAATAAACTTATTGGCTATCTGGATATCCATGCTATTCAAGGATACAAATTATAATAGAAAAGCTGACGGTAGATGAAAAGACTGTTGGTTTTTAAAATAATTAATAAAAATAATCTCATGCCTTTCTATATTGTCGAGGAAAAAATAATAATAAGCAAAAATTAATGAAATTGATAACATACAAGAGTCAAATAAAAATGCTGGGTGTTAGTGCTTTCAAAATATAAGAAAATAAAGAAGCCTCTGGCAAGATGGATCACTTTGGGATGAAAAAGTTGTCATGCTTGCACTTATAGTAAAGATGTAAAAGATAAAGTAATATGAAAAAGATATGCTGATAATTTGAAAATTTATATTAAATGAATAAATCTAGAAAAAATATAATCTTTTTATACTGAAGAAATAAAAAATGCTCATATTAAGAGTAGTCTTGATGAAGAATGCATAAAAAGACAAAATCACTGGTCAATCTTAACTATAGAAATGCAAAAAAAATAGAAATAAGAAAATAGCAGCCTAAACCTAGCAATGGCTAAAAGAGATGATACAGCATGACAAAGTTGTGTTTGTCTCAAATTTGCAATGTTGGTTTAACATTAGGAAAGCCATAGTGTAATTCAACACATTAAGATAAAGGAGTAAGGAAAAGAAGGCATCACAAACATTTCAGAAAAAAGGCATACAAAAAAATTCATCAACTGATCAAGATCAAGATTAAACAACAATAATAGCTCTCAACTAACCAGAAATAGAAAGATACATTTTTTTCTTTTTTGTTTGTTTTTTAATTTTTATTTTTCAAATAGAGTTGACACTCAATATTATTTTATATTAGTTTCCAGGTGTACAGCGTAGTGGTTAGACATTAAACAATTTATGAACCGATCCACCCAATTAGTCTAATACCCACCTGGTGCTATACATAGTTATTACAATATTATTGACTATATTCCCTATGCTGTAATTTACATCCCCGTAACTATTTTGTAACTACCAATTTGTACTTCTTAATTCCTTCACCTTTTTCACTCAGCCACCCAACCCCCCTCCCAATCTGGCTATGACCAGTTTGTTCTCTGTATCTATGAGTCTGTTTTCATTTCGTTTGTTCGTTTATTTTGTTCCTTAGATTCCACATATAAGTGACATCATATGGCATTTGTCTTTTTCTGTGTGACTTAGTTCACTTGGCACAGTACCTTCTAGATCCATCCATGCTGCAAATGGAAAATTTTCATTTTTAATGGCTGAGTACTATTCCTTTGTATATATGCACCACCTCTTCTTTATCCAATTGTCTCCATATCTTGGCTATTGTGAATAGCTCTGCTGTGAACATAGGGGCGCATAGACCTTTTTGAATTAGTGTTTTGGTTTTCCTTGGATAAATACCTGGAAGTGGAATTGCTGGGTCATAAGGTAGTTCTGTTTTTAATTTTTTGAGGAACCGCCAAACTATTTTCCATAGTGGCTATACTAATTTTCAATCCCACCAACAGTGCGCAAAGGTTCCCTTTTCTCCACATCCTCTCCAGCACTCGTTGTATGACTTATTGATGATAGCCATTCTGACAGGTGTGAGATGACATCTAATTGTCGTTAATTTGCATTTCTCTGATGATTAGTGATGTTGAGAATCTTTTCATATGTCTATTGACCTTTTGTATGTCCTCTTCAGAGAAATGACTATTCAGATTCTTGGTCCATGTTTTAATTGGATTGTTTGGTTTTTGGTTTTGAGTCGTATGGGCTCTCTATAAAATTTTGGATATTAACTCCTTTTCGAATGTATCATTGGTAAGTAATGATTATGATTCATTCAGTTGGTTGTCTTCTCATTCAGTTGGTTGTCTTTTCATTTTGGTGAAGGTTTCCTTTGCTGTGCAAAACCATTTTAGTTTGATGTAGTGCAAAACCATTTTAGTTTGATGTAGTCCCATTTGTTTATTTTTTCTTTTGTTTCCCATGCCCTAGGAGATATATCAGAAAAAAAAAATTAATAAGAGCAATGTCAGAGAGTTTACTGTCTATGTGTTCTTCTAGGAATTTTATGATTTGGGGTCTTACATTTAAGTCTTTAATCCATTTTGAGTTTATTCTTGTATATTGTGTAAGAACGTAGTCCAGTTTCATTTTTTTGCATGTATAAGTCCAGTTTTTCCAACATCATTTATTGAATAGACTGCCTTTACCTCATTGTATATTCTTGCTTCCTTTGTCATGTATAAAATGACCATATAGGCATAGATTTATTTCTGGGCTCTCTATTCTGTTCCATTGATCTATATGTCTGTTTTATGCCAGTACCATGCTGTTTTGATTACTATAGCCTTGTAGTATAGATTGATATCAGGTAGCATGATACCTCCAACTTTGTTCTTCCTTCTCAAGAATGCCATGGCTATTTGGGATCTTATATGTTTCCATATAAATTTTTGGATTATTTCTTCTAGTTCTCTGAAAAATGCCATTGATGGTTTGGTAAGGATTGCATTGAATCTAAATTGCTTTGGGTAGTATGGACATTTTAATGATGTTAATTCTTATCCATGAGTACGGCATATGATTCTATTTATTTGTATCTTCTTGAAATTCTTTTTTCAATGACTTTTTTTTTTTTTTTTTGAGTACAGGTCTTTTACCCCCTTCGTTAAATTTATTCCTCGGTATTTTATTTTTGATGCAATTGTAAATGGGATTATTTTGTTGATTTCTCTTCCTGATAGTTAATTACTGATGTTTAGAAGTGCAACCAATTTCTGAATATTAATTTTGTATGCTGCTACTTTACTGAATTCATTTATCAGTTCTAACAGTTTTTTTGGTAGCATCTTTAGGGTTCTCTCTATATGTATCATGTCATCTGCTAATAATGACAGTTTTTCTTCTTCCTTTCCAATTTGGATGCCTTTTATTTATTTTTCTTCTTTGATTGCTGTGGCTAGGACTTCCGATACTATGCTGAATAGAAGTGGTAAAAGTGGACATCCTTGCCTTATTCCTGATCTTAAGGAAAACGCTTTTAGCTTTTCCCCGTTGAGTATGATGTTTACTGTAGGTTTGTCATATATGGCCTTTATTATGTTGAGGTATGTTCCCTCTAGTCCCACTTTGCTGAGAGTTTTTATCATAAATGGATGGTGGATTTTGTCAAATGCTTTTTCTGCATCTACTGATATGATCATATGATTTTTATCTTTCATTTTGTTTGTTTGGTATAGCATGTTCATTGACTTGCAGATATTGAACCAACTTTGCATCCTAGGAATAAATCCAACTTGATTATGGTGTAAGATCTTTTTAATGTATTGCTGTATTCGGTTTGCTAACATTTTATTGAAGATTTTTGCATTTATTTTCATCAGGGATATCAGCATATAATTTTTTTTGTGATGTCTTTGTCTGGTTTTGGAATTGGGGTAATCGTGGCCTCATAAAAAGTTAGGGAGCTTTTCCTCCACTTGAATTTTTTGGAATAGTTTGAGAAGAATAGGTGTTAATTCTTTTTTGAAAGTTGGGTAAAATTCACCCGTGAAGCCATCCATCCCAGAACATTTGTTTGTGGGGCGTATTTTTGATTGCTGATTCAGTTTTATTAGTAGTAATCAGTCGGTTCAGATTTTTTTGTTTCTTCTTGACTCAGTCTTGGGAAATTGTATGTTTCTGGGAATGTATCTATTTCTTCCAGATTGTCCACTTTGTCGGCATATAATTGCTCATAGTATTTTCTTATAATCCTTTGTATTTCTGTAGAGCCCATTGTTACTTTTCCTCTTTTGTTTTTGATTTTATTTATTTGATTCCTCTCTCTTGGTTTCATTGATCTTTTGTATTGTATTTTTAGACTCTATTTTGTTTATTTCCACTCTGATTTTCATTATTTCCTTCCTTCTACTCTCTTTGGGCTTTATTTGCTGTTCTTTTTCTAGTTCCTTTAGGTGCGAGGTTAGATTGTTTATTTGAGATTTTTCTTGTTTCTTGAGGTAGGCCTGCATTGCTATAAATTTCCCTCTTAGGACTGCTTTCACCGTGTCCCATTGATTTTGAGTCATTATGTTTTTATTTTCATTTGTCTCTAGGTATCTTCTGGCTTCCTTCTTGATCTCATTGTTAACCCATACATTATTTAATAGCATGTTATTTAGCCTCCATGTGTTCGTGTATTTTCCAGTTTTTTTCTTGTATTTGATTTATAGTTTCATACCATTGTGGTCGGAGAAGACGCTTGACATGATTTCAATCTTTTAAATTTACTGAGGCTTGTGTTGTGACCTAACATGTGGTCTCATTGAATATGTTCCATGTGTACTTGAGAAGAATGTATATTCTGCTGCTTTGGAATGAAAAGCTCTAAAAACATCAATCGAATCCGTCTGGTCTCGTGTATCATTTAAGGCCGCTCTTTCCTTCTTAATTTTCTGTCTGGAATACCTGTCCGTTGGTGTCAATGTGGTGTTAAAGTCCCTTACTATGATTGTATTACTATCGATCTCTCCCTTTACGTCTGTCAATATTTGCTTTATATATTTAGGTGCTCCTATATTGGGTGCATAAATGTTTACTAGGATTATATTGTCTTTTTTGATTGATCCCTTTATTATTATGTGATGTTCTTCTTTGTCTCTTATTATAGCCTTTATTTTAAAGTTTATTTTGTCTGATATAAGTATCGCTACCCCAGTTGCTTTTTAAATTTCCATTTGCATGAAATATTTTTTCCATCCTTTTACTTTCAGGCTGTGAACATTGAGATTAAATTCAGTAGAATTTTGTTTTTTAAGATGACATTGACTTAATATAGCATTTTTTTTTCTATTCTCTAAGTAGAATTTATGTTGTTGGACTGATATTATTTGAAATGAAATCCAGTAACAGTAAGATTTGGGTAGCATTAGAAAATTTCAACTCACAATTCACAATCACCTACTCCTCTGTTGGGCACGGGGGAAATATAAGAGCTATAAAACAATATCTTCCTGCCCTATATCCTTATAAATGAATTAGGCAGCAAACGTAAACATTTATTTCATAATTTATTAATCTAATAAACGTTTTTGTGAATAAACTAGGCCAGTGGTATATCTTTTAAAAGGAATCTGAGTCATGACAGGTAGTACAAGGACACTCCCTCCCTCTCCAAGATATTGATCCGGAAGTTTTTCCTTTCTTCATACCTCTCAGTTTTAGCCCCAGCAAAGGGGGGGTAAGGCAAAATCAGTCTTTTCCAGTCTACATGCCATCTCTCGCTAAGGCATGACTTTTGTATGATTATAATATTATTATAATTTCATCTGCATTGAAAATACTGCAGCTCCCTTCATGCTCCTGACTCTATGACAGTTCTGGAACCACCATATGAGGAAGAAAAAGCGAGAAACCAAGCTCCTCACCTACTAGGAGGAGAGAAGAAGGCTGCATCAGCACCACATTTTCCCCTGCTCAATCTCCAGGGAGAACAAAAAGATCATAACCAGGCATCTTGCTGTGACTCTCTCTCTTGAGTATGCCCGCAGGCTCCCCCTTGAGTGTGTACTTTTGCTTTAACAACCCTTGAGCTTTCCTGTTTGGTGTTCGCTTTGGCTTTGAATTCTTTCTCACAGAATAAGACAAGAACCTGGTAATCGGAGTCCCTAGCTTTCTGGCAACAAATCTTCTCCTTGAAATGTTGTATTTAATTGTATTGTTAAGTAAATTCTAATTTTTTAAGTTCCAAAAATAAATTCGTTTTTTGTAAAAAATTATCATTAAAATTTCAAAAATACATAAAAAAACAGTAAATATTTCTATGAAACCCCATATATTCATTACTCAGATTCAACAACTAACCTTAAACTTACACAAATTGTAATTTTCAAAAGGTTTGATTTCTAATACGCAGCATTTTCCCTTCTCAAAAGAGGAAAAAAAAACCTAAAGTAACAAAAGCTAATACAAAATTTGATTAATAAAGCAAAAGTCAAGGAAGAGATTAAAAAAAGAAGAATGAGATTCAGAAAACTAAAATACAAGGAAAAAGATAAAATATATGATCCAAGTAAATGTGACTGTTTTATGTCCCAATGTCCAAAGCAAATTACTCCACTAGAAAAATGTGCAAAGAACACAAAAATGATCAAATGACAAAGGAAAAATGAATATCTAATGATCATGAGAAAAGATTCTCAATTATATTAAAAAAGAAATGAAAAGGAAAATGAGATTATGTTTAGTTAAATTGTTTGAATCTATCAGATTTGTAACGATAAAAAAGATTGATAATGTTTGGGCTGGTGAAGATGTGGAGAAATGGGCACTCTTAAGCTCTGGACATGAAAAAAATAGGCAAAGGATCCGAATAGATGTTTCTCCACAGAAGATACACAAGTGATTAATAAGCATATGTGTAATATTGTGATTTACAATAAGAAATGTATATGTGATCTTACTCCGTTTCCGGCACAGAGCTCCCAAAACCTTTTGAACAGCAATGAAAGCATCTTTTGTTATAATATTCAGTCTTTTGTCCTCTGTTGCTAAAATTTCTTCAGACTCATAAAGGTGAAATAGATGTACTGTCATTCATAAAGTCCCTTTCCACAAAACTGAGTTTATTTTAGTGAGGTGACTTTTGAATATTTCCTAAAGATGGGGGAACCAGCAAGTATTAGAGGGTTGGAAATTTCAGACCCACCCCCTCATTTTCAGGGTGGGGAGAGGGACTGGAATTTGAATCAATCATCAATGACCAATGATTTATTCCATCATGCCTCTATAATGACACTATGGAAAAATCCCTTAAAGGAGGGTTTATAGAGCCTCCTGGTTGTTGAACCAGAATGCTTCTGGTCAGAAACTGCCTTGAAAACATTATGCTAAATGAAGAAGTCAGTCCCAAAAGAATATGTGTATATTATATGATTTCATTTATATCAAATGTCCAGAATAGGAAAATCTACAGAGACAGAAAGTATGTTAGTGGTTGTTTTGGCTTGGGAACGATAGGGGGATAGGTAAGTGATAGCTAAAGAGGATTTTTTGAGTTTCTTTTTGAGATGACAAAAATGTCTTAAAACTTACTGTAGTGATGGTTGCACATATCTGTGAATACAGTAAAAACCACTGAAGTGTACATACACTTTAAGTGGGCAGATCTTATAATATGTGAATTATAGCTCCATAATGTTATTTAAAAAAGATATAAAGAGAGTCTCAGCCAGGGTTGGTTATTAACTGAATACGAGGGACAATGAAGAGAGATTCAAGGGTAATGGCCAGGTTCTGGGTTGGCCAATAGGTGGATACTAAAGCAGAAAACAAAGGAAAAAGAAGCAGGTTTAAGGTGAGAATAAATTACTAGAGAGTGAGAAAGCATATAGAGAGACTGTTAAACTTTTTGAGGGGTGAGGAATCACAGCTTCTGTTGAGAATCTGCTAAGAAGTATGGTCTCTCTGCCCACAAAAAAAATGTGAATATATTACCACCCCCCTTATACATACGATAATTTTGAATAACATTTAATAGGTTCCACAGGCTTCTGTGTTGAGAATAAACTAAGGTTACTCAGGATGGTTTACAGAGTGTATTCTTCAGACCGTGGCATAAATGAGGGACTACCAGGGTGGGTATGGACTGCCAGATAGTGACCCTGTAGCAAGGCTGGGTTCTTCCTGAGTGCCCTGAAGGTGAGGAGGTTAAGGTGAAGATTCCAGCAGTCTGCACTTCCTGAACCAGATGAAAGACTGCAGAAAGGTCTCAGAGACTTCTACCTGATTAAGGTGAAAAAGAGGAGAGAGCAGGCTGACTAGCAATCACTTGTCTACGATTCTTGAAATATCCTACCACAAAGGTGCAGAAGAGCTCCATCTGGTTTCCACTATAATAACAGACCCCCCGCCCCCCCTTCAGTGAGTCACTAGGTGGGAATTTGGGGAAAAAAATGGAGGGAAGAAACCAAAATAATTTACTCAGGTCAGTACTTTGGTAACTTGTCCATCCATATTTTTAGAGTAAGCAATAGTCAGGAGCCTGGATGTAGGAAATGAGAGGCTGTGGAACCAGGCAGCAGGAAGACCAGCCCCTTCTCAGCCTCTTGTCAAGGAAGGGATGATCTGACTATCTGCATCCCTCAACCTGCCTCAAAACCTTCATTGGTATTAGCCATTAAATTTCAACAGATGACGTCAGTTGTTAGCAAATGCTTTTCTATATTTCATGAATGTTTATTATAATAGAATAAAATATAAATGTTTATTAACAAAACTTGAAATTTGTTCCAGCAGGAAAAAAGTAGGTTTTTTACATAAAATGACCAAAATCTGATAACTGGACTTCTCCCTGAAGATTTATTTCACAGATAATTTTCAAAACACCAACTGTGTTCAGGAATGTTTCTACCTTTTTTTTCCATAAAATTTTGAAACAAGCTAGAATGTTCTAAAAATGAAGTTGTGTGGCTACCAAAGAAAATACTTTCTGTGCAATGCTGGAGAACATAAACAATCCGGTTTTTTACTTTCCCAGGTTGAAACATGTCTTTTAAAAATGAAATTTCATAGTTTTCAGTTTTTTGAGGCATACTGATTTTTTAAAGGAAATAAAGAAAAATCATTACGAAGCAGATATATACAGCCAGGGAGAAGAGGAGAAAGCAGAAAAGGCCAAAGCCAATGTCAAGGTCCTGGTAGTGGAGGGATGGAGATGTAGACTCTCCCTGGTAAGCAGAGAACACTCCAACTGCAGGCGGTGAGGCCACTTGGGGGCCCTCAGATAGAAGATCCGGCTGAGTGACAGCTGCACGCTGAGGCCCTGCGCAGAGACGCATGAAAGGGGAGTTCTGCGTGAGGGTTTGGGGGAGGGTCCTGTCGAACTCCTCGCAGGACCCGCGCGGGAGAAGGGGAAGGGCGAGCTCGTAGGTGACGCGAGGCCCCCACGTGACCCGGAGCTGCAGAGCGACGCAGTCTTCGGTGCAGTCGTCACTTCTCTCTGGGTACCAGCTCCCCGCTGCCCTGCGCACGGCGGGCTGGCATCGGGCCGGGGGAAAGCCGAGCAGGTAAGGGCCCGGGGCCGCGCGGAG